TCTTTCTCATATTTAGTGAATGAAATTTGCAAAAATAGGTTATTTTCCATGTAAACTTTAAAATTACTTTTTATTTAATATTTCTTATTAATAATTGTTTCTATCAATTTATAATAATAAAATAATTCATTCTTAATAAATTCTAATAATTTTTTTTACGTTTTTATAGTAAATTATGTGTTTTCTTTAATATTTTCTAATAGATGAAAAAGTGTCAGTTTTTACGACTTCATATACTTTAGATGCTTATTTTACAATAAATATAAAAAATATTTAAAAAATTCTTTTTGTTCGGTGATCCTAATATCTTTAAAATCATTCCTGCAAAATATTACAATTTTTTAAAATTAGTCGGCAACGACTTTAGTCAAAATATAATGGAATGACTCTATTATTTATAAAAATAATTTAATTCTTTCAAAGAATTTTATTAATTAGGTAAATGATTAAATTCTTGCGGCGAATTTTATTAAAATTTATGAAAATAATTGAATTTTTTTTCTAGAATTTTATCATAAATTTTTTTGAATAATTGAATTCTGTTTGGTAATTTTATAAAAATAGTAGATATTAAAAATCATTGAATTGTGAAAAGTTTTTAAAGATAATTAAATTTTACAAAGAATTCTATTAAAAAATTTGGCAAATATTGAAAAAAATCAATTTTATTTAACAAACTTTTATGCAATTTATTTTTCCCAATAATTCAATTACTTTTAAGGGGCCGTCCATATATTACGTAACGCTAATTTTTGAAAATTTTGACCCCCCCTCCCCCCATGTAACACGCTGTTACATACATTAGCGCCATTTTTTTGGCTTATCGTAACAAATAGCTTGACCCCCCCTCCCCCCAAAAAGTGTTACGTAATATATGGACGATCCCTAATAATTATAAAATTTTTCATGTAAATTCCATTTTTTCAAAAAAATTTTTGATTAAATTCTAAGCATGAATTTAATTATTTTCATAATCGTAAAATTCAGTTACTTTCACAAATAAAGTTTTTGACAAGAATTTAATTCTTTAAACTAATAAAATTTTCATAACATTTAAAAATTCATTATTTAAAACAATGTTCATAAAATTCTTATGAAGATTTCAATTCCATTCAAAAGTAATAAAATTTTCAACAGAAATTCAATTCTTTTTAAACATTTTAATAAACTTTTCCGCAATAATTCAATTATTTTCAAAAATTTAATAAAATCATTCGAAAGAAATTAATTGTTTTAAATATAATTTTAATAAAATTTTTTTTTAAATAATAAATAAATTTTTTAAATAATTTTTTTATTTATCGACATAATTATGTCGATAAATTACTCCCGAAAATTCAATTATTTTGAGGTATTTCAATAAAATTCTTTTCAAAATTCAATTATTTTCATAAATAACAATATTCATCACAATAATTCAATTATTATTAAAAGTAATAAATTTCTTCTTGGAAATTCCATTATTTTAAAAAATTCTAATAAATCGTTCGCAAGAATTCAATTATTTTCATAAATAATAATTACATTATTATTACATAATTATGTCGATAAATTACTCCCGAAAATTCAATTATTTTGAGGTATTTCAATAAAATTCTTTTCAAAATTCAATTATTTTCATAAATAACAATATTCATCACAATAATTCAATTATTATTAAAAGTAATAAATTTCTTCTTGGAAATTCCATTATTTTAAAAAATTCTAATAAATCGTTCGCAAGAATTCAATTATTTTCATAAATAATAAAATGTTTTTTTGGAAAATCCAATTATTTTCAAAAAAATTTAATAAAATTTCCAAAATTTCCCATATTAATATAATATAATTTGAAAACTTAATTCTAATTAGTTTTTCAGTTATGTGTGTCATAATAAGTATTTCTTTAAAAATTACTTAAATTAAAATGACTTGAAATTGTTTACAATAAATATTGTAGCACAACATTCCCGCGCGGATAATTTGGCTAGTATAATAATAATTGTAAGTTTCCTTTCCGTTGGCAAATTCTCTTCATTCATTTGCAAGAAGGCTAGGTTTGTTTTGAAAATTAATTTTTGTGGGATTGTCAATTTTTTTAATGTCAAAAAAACCCCAAAAAAACTCGTTTTATTCACTTCACAAAATTGACAAAAATTTCATTTCATATTTTTTGTTTTCCTGACTTTTTCATAATTTTCATTAAAAATATTCATTTCTTTCTTATCCTGATAATAAATTGAATTCCTACAACGAATTTTTATTATTCATGAAAGAATTTGAATATTTATAAAAATAATTTAATTCTTGCAAAGAATTTTATAAATCTTTTTAAAAAATTTATTTCTTTCTACTAATTTTATGCAAATTCTAATTTAAATAATTGAATTGATGAAAATTTTTATTATTCATGAAAATAATTGAATTTTTAAAAACCGTTTTTTTAATAATTGAATTCTGTTTGGAAATTTTATGAAAATAGTAGATATTGAAAATCATTGAATTGCGAAAAGTTTTTAAAGATAATAATAATAATAATTACAAAGAATTCTATTAAAAAATTTGGCAATTACACTGGTCGACAAAATTAAGGTTTTTTCTTGCTACAAGAATAAACGAAAGTGATTCTTACAGGATTTTGGACGTAGATTACGAATCTGTAAGTGAAATTGTCCCATCACGTCTCAATTTTGAGAATAACGAGGTCAAAGTGCAAAAAAATAGCTTTTATGGCACTTTTTGAAGCACAATAAAAAAGAACGCGACGTGATAAAAAGCTCAAATATTGCTTAAATGAGAGCTCAAACCCTCAACTTTAACATCCAAAAGCAAAAAACCATTTAGAAATAACTCAAAATTGTTGGAAACAACTTTTTACCGCATGCGCGTAAAACAGCTATTATTTTAGCGATCATATAGGGTAAATTGGTAAAAAGTTGTTCCCAACAATTTTGAGTTATTTCTAAATGCTTTTTTGCTTTTGGATGTTAAAGTTGAGGGTTTGAGCTCTCATTTAAGCCATATTTGAGCTCTTTATCACGTCGCGTTCTTTTTTTATTGTACTTCAAAAAGTGCCATAAAAGCCATTTTTTGCACTTTGACCCCGTTTTTCTCAAAATTGAGACGTGATGGGACAATGTCACTTACTGATTCGTAATCTACGTCAAAAATCCTGTAAGAATCACTTTAGTTTATTCTTGTAGCAAAATTTTGTCGAACAGTGGAATTGAATGTCTGTGGGAAATTTCATTAAATTTTTTTGAATATACAGTGGAACCTCGATTATCCGAACCTCTGTTATCCGAACCCTCTATTATCCGAACCGAAAATCATTTTATCCGAACTTCTATTATCCGAACTTTTTTTTGGCCTCCCGAATCTTTCAAAGGAAAATAACGAAATTTATGCCAGAAAAATCTTTAAAAATTCTAAATTCTATGTTTTATTAATATATTATTATGAATTTATATATATTTATGTATATTTAAAAAATGGATTAAATGAAATATATATAATTCAACTGTCGATTTTTTTACTTTAATTATATAAAAAAAATTAAAATCTCTATTATCTGAACTTTCGATTATCCGAACCCAGCCTTGCCTAGGTTAGTTCGGATAATCGAGGTTCCACTGTAATTTAATTCTTAAAAAACATTTTATTTTTATTTATGAAAATAATTAAATTTTGAAAAGAATTTTATTAAAATACCTCAAAATAATTGAATTTTCGGGAGTAATTTTCTTATTTTTCTTTAATAATTGAATTCTTTCGAAAAATTATTTATGTAAATAACTGAATTCTCAGAAAAACTTTTATTAAAATTTAAAAAAATAATTAAATTATTTCGAAAAAATTGAATTAAAATTGTATTTAAAACAATAAAATTAATTTCTTTTGAATAATTTTATTAAATTTTTGAAAATAATTATTCAATCCTTCCAAAAAATATTTTTAAAAAATTTTTTTACATAATTGATTTTTTCGAGAAATTGAAATTAAGCTCTTAAGAATAATTACATTTTTTGACCAATTCCTGTAAAACTGTATTAAAAATAATTGAAATTCTGCTATGAATTTTATTATTTATGAAAATAATTGAACATTTGCTAGGAATTTTATTATAATTCTCCAAAATAATTGAATTACAGAGAAGAATTTTATTATTTTTGAAAATAATTGAATTATCGCGGAAAAGTTTATTAAAATGTTTAAAAAGAATTGAATTTTTGTGAAAAATTTTATTATTTTTGAAAATAATTGAATTCTTTAGAAGAATTTTATAAATATTGTTTTAAATAATTAATTTTTTCGAAATATAATAAATATTTTGAAAATTTTATTGGTTTAAATAATTAAATTTTTGTGTAAAACTTTATTTGTGAAAATAACTGAATTTTTCGATTATTAATTTAAAATAGTAATAAAATAATTGAAATTCTTAATTTTAATTATTTTTAATTTTGAAAATATAATTTGAAAATTTAATTTTAATTATAGTTTTTAGTTATGTGTCATAATAAGTATTTCTTTAAAAATTACTTAATTTAAAATGACTTGAAATTGTTTACAATAAAGAGAGTAATAGCAGAACATTCCCGTGCGGATAATTTGGCTAGTATATTGAATATAATTGAATTCTTTCGACAAATAATTTTAGTAAAACTTTTAAGAATAATTACATTTTTCGAGGAATTCGATTAAAATTGTATTAATAATAATTGAAATTTTTGCGAAGAGTTTTATTACTGTATATGAAAATAATTGAATTACTGCGAAGAATTTTATTAAAATTTTTGAAAATAATTGAATTTTAAAAAAAATTTTGAACATAATTGAAAAAATTGAAGGTTTTGTCTTAGAATTCGTGGTAATTTTATAGTTTATGAGACAAACGAAAAAATTTAATATATAATAGACAAGTAATCGATTATATTTGAATAAAATAATTTTTTTCCAGTGTATATAAAATAAATGTAGTTTAAACAATGAAATAGAGAATATAGTGATGATGTACTTACACCTAGAAATACATCTTGAGTACCGAGAGATTGCTTGTATTTAATTTGATATTCTGGTCTAACTCTTGGGTCACGCTGCTGTTGAAAATATTGAAATTTTTTCGTTTCCGCTGCATGCCAAATATCCGCACACTCTCTTTGCACAGAAGAACCACATGAAACCTCGTATCCATCTTCTTTTTTACACGACTTTGTATCACTACTTCCTTTGAAAACAATTCACAAAATTTTACTCTCTAATTTTTCATATGAAACAAAAAAAAATGTTTACTTCAAATATTTCCTGACACTTTTTTATTATAATTACATCTTTTTTGTTTTAATATTTTATATATTCTTATATTTTATTTAATAAAAGTTTAAAAAGTTGTTAATTTTATTCAGAGTTATCACAAAAATTATATTTTGATTTGAAAATCATTAAAAGTTTAATTATCCCAGAAAACTTATTGAAAAATAAGTATTTTTCGCACTATAAAAATCGAAATTGCATTTTTTATCAAAAAATAGTATTTAGTTGTAATATTTGAAAAGTCTAAAAACGATCATTTTTTGAAAATCGAAAATTAGTTGCCTTTTTTGAAAATTATCCGAGGCCTGTGTTTGCAAAATTCCCCTTTTTTCCAATTGAAAAATTGAAAATTATATTAATTTTTGAATATGTCATTGAAATTTCTTTTTACTGTTATATAGAAAATATTATTTGAATAAATCGGGAATTACCTGAAGTTGTCGGTACAGATTGTGTTACATCATCGTCCGAATTTTTGGACGTTTGTGATAATAAATTCTGTAGTCCTTTTATATTTTCAAAAGTAAATAAACCCTCCATATTTGAAACGAGAGTAAAAAAATCTCAGATGTGAATTCGTATTACGACAAAAAGCGCAGAAAGTTTTTATACGTGTGTCATATAATAAACAAATTGACGTTGTCATGACGACCATACAACACCAGCGCGTTATAACTTTGTTCTATTAGCCTCTTTGAACCACTTTTTCCCATTTGCAAACGCAAATTACATTTTTTTTATTATTAGAAAAATTTAATATTGTTATATAAAACTTGTTTTAACAAACGGGAACATTTTTTAAAAGGCAAAAAAAGTATTAATATATTTTTAAATCAACAAACATTATTTATTTATTTTTTTGTTTTGACAACAATAACAGAGTTGTCACAAAAATTTTATTTTATTTTTCCCTCATTTTTCCCTGATATCTAGGTAGACAAAATAAATTTTCACTTTTTCCCTGACTCTAAAAAATATTCTGATTTACTCTAAAAATGATTAGATACCTATACTCAAATAAATGTTCTATCACTTTTTTTAGGTACGAATTTCATTAATTATTGTAAAATTATTCCAAGACTTCAATAACTTCATTTTTCAATAAATATATTATTATTAAGTCAATATTATTTATTAGAATAAATTTAACTAAAATTCTTCTTTAAATATTTTTAATAATTTTTGCAAAAGTTATTTGAATATTTTCAAATCCATTTGTTTATAATTGAATCTTACGAGATTTAGATTATTCGGAAATTTTTCAATTAAATACAAAAAATACAAAAAGATTAATTCTGCAGAATGTTAGTTAAAAGTTTGAAAAATTCAGATTTTCATAGATTTTAATTTGAAACCTATTTTCAAAAATCAATTATTTCTAAAAATTCTATTAGAAGTCAATTATTAATTAAATACAAAAATTACTTACTTATTGAATAATTGAATGTTTTTTAAAATTGAATTCTTATACATAATTCTACCAACAAGTTTCTAAATAAAACAAATTTCTGAATTCTTTCGACGAATTTTAATAACATTTTTAAAAATAATTACATTTTTCAAGGAATTCGATTGAAATTGTATTAAAAATAATTGAAATTCTGCAATTAGTTTTATTATTTATGAAAATAATTGAATTACTGCGAAGAATTTTATAAAAAAGTTTCAAAGAATTGATTTTTTTAAAAAATTTATCCAATTTCTATTTTTAATAATTGAATTCCGATGAAATTTTCATTATTTTAGAAAATAATTGATTATTCGTGTAGAAGTTTGTCAAAATTGTTTTTAAATAATTGAATATTCTTTTAGGAAATTGTATTCAAATAATACCTATTGTTATTTATGAAAATCATTGACTTCCTCCGTATGACTTTATTATTTATGAAAATAATTAAATCCCTGAAAGGTATTTTTAAAATTAATAAAAATAATTGAATTACTGCGAAGAATTTAATGCCAAATTTAAAAACATTTGATTTTTTCGAAAAAATTTATGCAAATAATTGAATTCCTGTGAAATGTTTATTTTTTGGAAAATAATTGAAAAAATCAAAATTTTTCTTTAATAATTGGATTCTTTTGGGAAATTTTATTTAGAATATTGAAAATCATTGAAGTAAGAAGAATTTTTATGAAAATAATTGAATTTCGGCGATGAATTTGGCTATTTATAAAGATAATTGAAATGTTGACGAGAATTTTTTAAATATTTTTGAAAATAATTGAATTTCTGGAAAGAATTATAATATTTATTAAGAATATTGAATTCTTTCAAAGAATTGCGTTAAAATTTTTAAAATTAAATCTAATTTCAACAGAATAAAAATTAAAATTTTTCAAAAAAATTCTTCATTAAATGATTTTTAAGTAATAACTTTATTGCAGTTCTTCAATAGAATTAAGTTATTTAAAATAATTTATTGTCAGAAATAGAAAAAACTGAAGGTTTTTTTTAGAATTCGTGTTAATTTTATAGTTTATGAGAAAAATCGCTTTTTTCTAAAATAGTCTAAAAAATGTTATTGTTTATTTTTTTCTGTTTGGAAAACAACAATTCTAATAATACTTGATAGCGATAGAAGCGAAATATATTTTCGTATAGATGAATACGTTTTTCGATGTAGGTGATTAATATTCCGAAAATGTTAGTGAAAAATTTGACGATTCTTTTGCCTACTCGAGTCAATGACATAATAATAGAGGCACCAGCATAGAATTTGTATATCCTTGCTCGTTTCTATGGTAATTAATTCTTATATAAAAAGACTTTTCCGTCATTTTTTCGAGCGCATTTCAACTTGCAACAAACACTCAAGATGAGTACTATTGTCTTAACAATTTTTCAATTTCTCGTAATTTCCGCAGTGACAAGTTTTGACAATCAGGAAGATTTTGAAATTGTCTTCTTACCAATTTCCAATGCAAAGCGGGAAATTGAGGTAAATTAATTATTCTATAGAATTAATTTAATTCAATTCAATTGTCACTTAATTTAGTTTAATTTACTTTCAATTTCCTTTACACATTAATTTTTTAATATTTCTATATTTTGAACTTTGGAAAAAAACAGGTTCCTTTGAGTTTTCAAGTTTTCGACCAAAAATTAGATTTATTACTCAGAAGAAACGACAAATTATTATCGCCAAATTTCCAAGTCTGGAGACAAACGAACTCTGATTTTCGTGAACAAGTTCCGGAATTGAATTCACCAGTTTCATGTCATTACTTGTATCGAGACGATAATAAATCCGCTTCTATTAGTTTCTGCGAGGATCGAAAAATGGTAATAAAATAATTAAATCTCTTTGTAAGGAATTTTAATAAATTTTTTGCAAATAATTTAATTTTATTAAAATTGTATTGAAAATAATACAATTTTTATATTGAATTTGATTAAATTTTATTAAAAATTTTTATTCTCAGCAAGGAATTATTTTTATGGACAACATGGCTCTAGAAATAATACCAATGGAAAATAATTTTTTCCACCAAAACGACGTATCGAAACGATCGGAAATATCCCACGAGCCACATATTTTCAAAAGATCTTCCCCTCCAAACATAACAATAAACAAATTTACAAATGAAATTCCCATAAAAAGGGAAACAGTAACTAACGAGAAAAAAATAAGTCTCACAATGGAATTGGCAGTATTCTTCGATGAGATGGCTTACAAAATTTTCACTCCATTCTTCAATAGAAATGAGGAAAAATTGCGTGATATGCTATTGGCCTATGTCAATGGAATTCAAGCAATTTATCATCATCCAAGTTTGGGAGTGGAGATGAATATTGTTTTGGTGCGTCTCGAAATTATGAGACAACAGCCAAGAGAATTGCCACATTTTCATGGCGAAAGGGGCAATTTACTCGATTCATTTTGTCGATATTCGAAGATTCATAATTCGGCAGACGATAATTCGAAAGCAAATCACTGGGATATTGGATTGTACGTGTCGGGTCTTGATTTTTACGCTTTGGAAAATGGAAAGAAAAACAGTGTCACAATGGGATTGGCCACAGTTGGCGGTATTTGTCTCAAAGATTATTCCTGTGTTATTGCCGAACTCGGAGTGACAAACACTTTTGGAAAACCTTATCCCTCGGCTGGATTCACTTCCGTCTACATTGCTGCTCACGAAATTGGACACAAGTAAATCTTTTTTACAAATCTATTAGAATTTACAGGCTTCGCACTCGAGAATTAATTTTTAAAAAGTAGCAAAAAGTATCTTTATGTCCGAAAAAAGTAGAAAAAAGTAGCTATCGAAAAATTAAATTTGACGACTAAAAACAACTCGTTTTAGATGATTCAGAAAAATTACAAAAATTTAATTCTGAATTTTTTTTTTAAATCTTCATCAAAAATATTTATGTTTTTTCTTATACTGATAATAAACTTCTTTTTAAATTCTAAATTTTGACAAAATTCCATAATTATTTTCGAAATTTTAATTTTAAATTCTTCAAAAATACGATTATATTTATAAATAATTTTTAAATACAATTTTTAATACAATTTATTTCAATTAAATTTAACAAAATTTCCAAATAATTGGAAATATAATTTAATCTTTTAAGAATAATTTAAGGAAATTCAAATACATATATATATATATATATATATATATATATATATATATATATATATATATATATATATATATATATTCAATACATTTTAATTGCAATTTTTCAAAAAGACGAATTTTTTTCATAATTTCAAAATTAAATGACACATTTCAAACTTGAATCATTTTTGTTAAATAAATATTTACATACTTATTTATTTTTCCACTGGAATTACAATTATTTATAATATTTTAAATGATTACTGTGTATAATAATCTTTTTAAAATTTAACAAATTCTAAAAATGACAACTGTAATTCTTCAAAAATTCAGTAATTTTCTTTTTGAAATTTTTAATTAAACTTATTCAAAACTTTAATCATTTCTTAAGAAAAAAATAAATTAATCAATTTTTTTTTAAATAAAAAATTGAATATTATTACAGTTTTACAACAATAAAAATTTTCAAAGATTACAATTTAAAAATCTTGGGAGATTTAATTTTTTATTTCTAAAAATTCATAAATTCTACTAAAATTCAATTAGGTATGAACTAAATTTTTAATATTAAATTCTTATAAAGAATTTTATTAGGATGTATTTGAATAATTGAATTTTTATAAATTATTTCCACGAATTTAATTGAAATTTTATTGAAAATAATTAAATTCCTATACCAGGCTTCGTACTCGATAATTAATTTTTAAAAAGTAGCAAAAAGTACCTTAAAGACAGAAAAAATATTTTAAAAATAGCTATATATCGAGAAATGAAACTTGACGACTCAATTTTTTTAAAATTTCTTAATTACATTCAAAAATAGAATAAATTTTTTAAAATAAATATTTAAATACCTATTTACCATATTGTCCTATTTATAATTATTTTATTATATTCAATTCTAAATCAATTCTTATTAGAAAGTTCTACGAGAATGAAATTATTTAAATACAAACATAAATAATTTATTGAATAATTATTGATTATTTCTTAAAATTGAATTTTTATTCAATACTTTATCAAAAGTTTTGAAAATAATTGAATTTTTACGAAAAATTGCATTAAAATTTTTGCTAATAATTAAATTCATTCAAAAAATGTAATTAAAAAAGAATTGAAAATAATTATTACCACTCTAAGAAACAAATGATATTAAATTTTTTTAAATAATTGAATTTTTTCAAAGAATTTTATTCAAATTTTTAAGAATAATTGTTTTTGAGCAGAATTAATTTAAAATTATATTTAAAGTAATTGAAATTCTGCGATGAGTTTCATTATTTATGAAAATAATTGAATTTTTGTCATCGAACTTTAATAAAGTTTTGAAATAATTGAATTCTTTCGATGAGTTTTATTAAAACTTTTAAGAACAGTTGCATTTTTCACGGAATTCATTTAAAATTGTATTAAAAATAATTGAAATCCTGCTATGAGTTTTAATATTTATAAAAAAAATTGAATTCTTGCAACGATTATTATTCAAATTTTAAAAAATAATTGAATTCCTGAGAAGAATTTTATTTTTTTTTAAAGATAATTGAATTCTTGCGAAGAATTTTATTAAAATCTGTTTAAATGCTTGATTTTTTTCGAAAAATATTAGCAAAATTCTGTTTTAAATGCGAAAAAATTTTATAAAAATTATTTTTAAATTATTCAATTCTAATGGGAAAATTTTTATAAAAATAGTAGATATTAAAAATCATTGCATTATGAAAAATTTCTGAAAATAATTGAATCGTTTTAAAGAATTTGATTAATATTTTTGAAAATAATTAAATTATTTCTGCGAAGAGTTGCACTAAAATTTTCAAAAATAATTAAATTCCCGAGAAGAATTTTATAAAATTCTTTTAAATAATTTGTGTTTTTTTAAATTCAATGAAAATTGTTTTTTAAACATGTAATTGAACTTCGGTAAAAATTTTATTATTTTTGAAAATAATTGAATGTTTGCAAAGAATTTTATAAAATTTTTAAAAATAATTGAATTCTTTTGGGAAATTTTGTTAAAATAGTAGACATTGAAATTAATTGAATTTCAGCAAAGATTTTCATTATTTGGAAAAATAATTGAAATCTTACGAAAACTACTCTTAAAATTGTTGAAAATAATACAATTGTTTCAAAGAATTTTTAAAAATTTTGGAGAATAATTTTTCTATACCAACTATTGGTGAATTTAAAGTACATAGTGCAAATTTCCAAAAAGAAAAAGAAAAAAGTAGCTTTTAGTGTCACAAATCTAAAAAAAAGTATCCAAATAGTAGCAAATCGTAAAAGAAGTAGTAAATAGTAGGTTTTAGTAGATGAGTGTGAAGCCTGGAATTAAAATAAAAATTCCAATTTAAGATTTCTTCCTAGCGTGTCACGATTATTATAAATACTTCGTTTCCAGTTTGGGAATGCATCACGACTCGATCGGAAATTCATGTCCGAAAAATGGCTACATCATGTCACCGAGTCGAGGAACAGTCGACGGCGAGACAAATTGGTCCGAATGTAGTCGAGAAATTGCGAGAAATCTCTTCAAAACGAAAAACTGCCTTTTGGATTCAAACACATGGCAAATTGTCAATCCGACTCTAAATCATGAAAAATATCAAGATTTTCCCGGCAGACGGTGGACGGCCAAGAGACAGTGCGAACTATTCCTGCGCGATGACGACGCGGAAGTTGTCACCCTGACGAACGCTTGTCAATCGCTCCAGTGTGCGAGTCCCCACAAAACTGGATATTATCTCGCAGGTCCAGCATTGCAGGGCACGAAATGCTCTTCAGGAGAAAGAAGCGGCGAATGTCAAGGCGGTGAGTGTCTTCCAGTTTTCCATTCCTCGAACGGAACTATTGGCGTTTGGAGCGAGTGGCGTACGGAAAAATGCCAGAGTGGATGCATCCAGAAATCACGTGGTTTCGTCAATAGGCGACGAAAGTGTGACAACTCAGACTGCGAGGGCAATTCCCTCGACGTGCAAATCTGCCGGGACGAGAGACTCTGCAAAAGAAAACGGAAATCAGCCAAAGATTTTGCAACAATGAAATGTAGATTATTTAGTGGAAAATTACAGGAACTTGACGGAGAAGCTGGTGGTTTGCAAGCGTCACATGAAATCGAGAGACCTTGGATGGCGTGCGCGATATTCTGTCGACGAAGAGACTTTGCCTCCTATTACACGCCACGTGTTGAACTCAATGACCTTGGCCTCGACCCCTATTTTCCCGATGGCACCTGGTGTCACTACGAGGAAGGTCAACACTATTTCTGCCGACAACATCATTGTCTACCGGAGAATTTTCAATTCGTCAAAAGTTTTCTGCTCGGTCACAATTATTTCAACATTGGTCCACAAAATGTCCAACCTCCAAAATTCCCCGACGAGATGATCAAATATTTCAGTTTGGATTTGAACGGCAAACCTCTGCTCACAACTCTAGGTCCTTTGGTCCTGAATTCTCCGTCTGATGATCCGATCGATCTCGATTACGTCCAAATTCCAGAATCTGCGAAAAAAACAAAAAATGGTGAGAATTATGATTTATATCCTGATCTAAAATCTATGTTCATGTGAGTAATCAGGGTAGCCACAAAAATACACTTTTGTTTTTCCCTAATTTTTCCTGATTTCCAGACCAAATTTTGATTTCTTCCCTGACAATAAAGAATATTTTGATTCACTTTAAAAATCATTAGATACTCAAAAAAAGGTTCTATTACATTTATTTGCGAATTTCTTTAATTGCAAAATTAATCGAAAACAACAATAACTTCTTTCTTAAATAAATATTTAATCATTATTATTTTTCCATGGGAATGAAGATTATCAAAAGTTTCAAATTGGAACCTTTTCAAATTCAATAACTTATATAAGAATATTATTATGAAACATGAAGAACACTCCGAGTCTTCATGTTCTTTTATTCTTCATTCTTCGTGTTTCATAATAATTAAAGACAACCAAATGATAAAATAATTATTTTATATTATCAGAATATTGTTACTATAACTTCTTCAAAATTATTTTCATCATTTCAATTCAATTATTATTTTCTAGAATTTTCAACTAAAATTCTTCTTTAAATCACCTATTTTTAATAATTTTTTGTAAAAGTTCTTTGAGAGTTTTCAAATCCATTTGTTTACAATTCAATTTTACGAAATTTCGATTATTCTGAAATTCTTCAATTAAATATATATTACAAAATAAAAACTTCAAGTAATTTAAAAGAAAAATTCAATTAACCTTTTTCAAAAAAATTTAATTCTATACAGAATTGTTTAGTTAATAAGTAGTATGCAAAATTCAGATTTTCAAAGATTTTAATTTGAAACCTTTTCAAAATTCAATTATTTCTAAAAATTCACGCCCTATAATGTTTTTTTTCTATTGTCTGCAATTTTAACTGAAATTTAATTTTATATCAATTTTTATCAGAAAATTCAAAGAGAATTCAATTATTTGAATAAGTACGAAAATAAATGATTTATTGAATAATTGAATGATTCTCAAAATTAAAATCTCATGAAGAATTTCATCAACAAATTTTTAAATAATTGAATTCTTTAGACGAAATTAAATGAAAATTTTTTAAATTTTATTTAAAATAAATTTTAAAAAATTTATACATTTTTCAAGAAATTTAATTAAAATTGTATTAAAAATAATTGAAATTCTGTGATGACTTTTATTATTTATAAAAATAATTAAATTCCTAAAAAGAATTTTATTATTTATAAAATAATTTAATTCTTGTGAAAGATGTTATTAAAATTAGAAAATAATTAAATTCTTGTGAATTTTTTTTTAAATAATTAAATTATTTTAGATAATTTTATTAAAATATTAGATATTGAAAATCATTGAATTGAGGAAAACTTTTGAAAATAATTGAAATTTTGACAAGAATTTTATTAAAATGTTTGAAAATAATTAAATTTTGGAGAAGAATTTTATTATTTACAAAAGATAATTAAAATTTGTACGAGAATTTAAAAAAATTTTTGAACATAATTGAATTTTTTGCAAAAAATTTTAGTAATTTCAAAAAATTTTAATAAAACTCTTCACAACAATAATTTTATTACTAACGTAAATAATTAAACTTTTTTTCAGGAAGGATACATTTTTCACAGTAATTCAATTTTCTTTAGTACAATTTTAATATAATTTCTCAAAAAAAATGTAATTGTTATAATAACAATTTATTGTTTTTATAACAATTTTTTCTCAAGGAATTCAATTTTTTTAATATAAAGTTTTGATACAATTATTTCTCGAAGGAATTCAATTATTTGTACAAAAAATTTTATTTTAGTTTTTTTAGTTTGATTTTAATAGAATTTTCAGAAAGAATTCAACTATTTTTTTAATTCGTGTAATGAATTTAATTATTTTCCTAAATTTTGATAAAATTATTTATCAGAATTAAATTATTTTCACTACATTTTGGAATACAATGGAAAACTTTATTAAAATAGCAGATATTGAAAATCATTGAATTGACGAAAATTTTGGTGAATAATTGAAATTTTGCCAAGATTTTAATTACTATTTTTGAAATAATTGAATTTCGGAGAAAAAGTTTATTTTAATTGCAAATAATTGAATTTCTGCAATCATTTGTAACTTCTCCAAAACTCAATTTTTTCCGTGTTTTTAACTGAAATTCTTTTGTAATTCCATTATTTTTAATAATTAATTAGATATATATGGGCAACTCCACGTGAGATTTTAGTCGACCTCTTAAAATTCGCCAAAAATATTTTTTTTCTATTCTGTATCGAAAAAAAACAGATACGTATTTTTTTATTTTTTTTAATTGTCCAAATTTTCGAGTTATGAATTTTCGAAATTTTGGACTTTTAATTGTAGACCTATATTCAGTAGCTTATAAGTCCGAAAATATTGAGTTTAGGAAAAAGTTGTCAAAGAATGAAAGTTGTAGTTTTCTTTCGACTTTTAAGAAATGTAAACAAATAATTTTTTTTTAAATTTTTTTTTATAAACAAATTAATTTTTCTTAACTTTGGGCCGGATTTTTTTTGTTTTTTTTAATTTATTTATACCTTACAATATAGAGAAGATTTTCCAAAAAGTCCCGAAATGGGCCTGATGTGTTAAATGAGTTTTAAAACATTTTCAAAAATCACTTGCAAGCATCACAGTGGGATTTTTTTTACATTTAACTTTTTAAAACTGTTTACAGCGTAGACCCTTTAATTTAAAACAAAGAACACTCAAATAGATTAAAAATTATACGCTGTAGACAGTTTTAAAAAGTTAATTGTAAAAAAATCCCACTGTGAAGCTTGCAAGTGATTTTTGAAAATGTTTTAAAACTCATTTAACACATCAGGCCCATTTCGGGACTTTTTGGAAAATCTTCTCTATATTATAAGGTATAAATAAATTTAAAAAAAATAAAAAAAAAATTCGGCCCAAAGTTAAAAAAAATTAATTTGTTTATAAAAAAAAAATTTTTTTTTAATAAAAAATTTTTAAAAAAAATTTTTTTGTTTACATTTCTTAAAAGTCGAAAGAAAACTACAACTTTCATTCTTTGACAACTTTTTTCTAAACTCAATTTTTTTGGACTTATAAGCTACTGAATATAGGTCTACAATTAAAAGTCCAAAATTTCGAAAATTCATAACTCGAAAATTTGGACAATTAAACAAAAATAAAAAAATACGTATCTGTTTTTTTTCGATACAGAATAGAAAAAAAATATTTTTGGCGAATTTTAAGAGGTCGACTAAAATCTCACGTGGAATTGCCCATATGGGTGATTCTCCAAAAACCGGTCACTTTTAAGTTGATAAAATTTTTTTTTTAATGTTTAAAAATTGAACTTTCTTTTATTAATTACTATTCATTGGTATTTAAATAAACTATATTTGAAGTAGGTACGCTACAAAACTATTTAAAGTTTAAAAATATTAAAATTATTTAAATTTCACCAGGATCATTTTGAATTTTTTCACGTCGCTCTTTTTCGACATTTGCTTTTTTCTGTTTGTTTAATTATTCTTTTATGTTATACAATCCATATCAACTATATTTATTTTAAATTACATTTATTAATAAACATTAGTTTTCGTATAATTAGCACTTTTCGCGTAATTGAAATGAGATGTGAAAAGTAAACATGAAAACTAACCTCATCAGAGGCGTATCATCGAGGGGCACTGAAATTCATATTTCTTCTATATAGGTATTATTAATTGAATTAAATGACTTATTTTTATTATTTTTAAAATTATATTTAAAAATATATGAAAAGATTAGAAAAATTTCAACTTTATTACCTATTTTAAAAAAAGTTTTAGGCACGGGCACACTTTTTACTTGTTTCGCACCTACCACGTGCAAATGTTTTGACACGACAAAGGACTCCACGACAATGGAAATTTGTACAAAATCCATTAATACACATTTTAAACAAAAGTAAATAAAAAAATGGCTAGGTATACACTTTTGTCCTACCAAACTGTAAGTTTTCATCCGTTTTTTATTGATATTTATATTAAAATATTAAAGTTATGACAGCGCACGACAAAGGAATGAATAAAAATACGCAGTGTTTTTCTAGTGTTTTTTCTTAAAAATATGAAAAATATAATTTATTTTCCAATTTCTCTTGGAGATTTGAAAAGTGACATGTTTTTTCTTTAATTTCCAATTGATTTTGATATAAAAAGTGCACGTCTTATAGTTCATTTATACACGTTTATCCTTTGTCGTGCCAGCATGGAGATTTTTAAAGACACTTATATTTTAATAATTATCAATAACTATATTGATGTATTAAAAAATTTCATCGATAAAAATTGAAGCTTTTGAGTTAATCTTTCATAATATTTATTGAATAATTAAAGATAGTTCTTTTTTTATAAGTAATAGTACTTTAAAGTTTGGTACTCAGAGGTAAAGACATATTGAATTGCTGTTTTCCAGCTGTTAAATGTTGTTTTCCACTAAATTTGTGTTAAAAAATTATCGTTTTTTATAAAGGGTATAATAAGTGATGTTTAAATAATATGTTTGTCCAATGTTAATATTTAAATGTTAAGTTGTTTAGAAGATATAAGTCAAAGACATGAAATTGCCCACTTTCAGGAGAATCACCCATATATGTATTAAAAAATTTAACTAATTTGAGAAGAATTTTAATTATTAAAATTTTTCAAATATCTACATAAGTTCTTTAATATTTCTAATTAAATTCATTCAAAATTGGAATTTCATTAAATTTCAATTAAATTTTCAATTTCAACCTTTTGAAGTTCATCTATTTATAAAAATTTTAAACGTAACTCTTTTAAAATTCAATTAATTTGAAGTATTTAAATAAAATTATTGATTAAATAATTTCTAAGTAATAATAACATGATACTTCTTCAAGAATTAAGTTATTTAAAAAGAAATTATTGTCAGATGTAGAAAAATTCAAATATTCCTAACTTTTTCCTAATTTTTCTGACCAATCCAATTTTTCTGACTTTTCCCCGATTTCTCTGAACTGTAGCAACCCTGTTTCAACATTGGTCTACAAAATATCTAACCTCCAAAATTTTCCGACGAAATGATCGTTTGAATTCCAGTTTAAATTTGGACTGTGAACCTCTGCTCATAATTCTCGGTCCTTTGGTCCTAAATTCCTTATCTGAGGACCCAATCGATCTCGATTATGTTTAAATTCCCGAATTTGCGAAAAAACCAAAATATGGTGATAATTCATGTGAATAATTTCAGTTTTGTCGAAAATAGAATTTTTTCTATAAACATTTTTATATGTACTTTTTTTAAATTTATAGTTAGTTTAGTTTTTTATTATTTTCAAAAAGGAATCAATCTTTTTTGTCAAAAAGTCTATTTAGTGTAACTAAATAAGAATAAGTTTGTACCTTTTTTGTTTGTATAATAAATAATCCTTTTCGATTCTTTTTTTAACGAATGAAGTTTCCTTTTCTTTAAATGGAATGTTCCTGACCGTTTTGTATTTATCAGGGCCATATTAATACAGTGAATGACCCTCCGTCTCTCTCTCTCTCTCTTTACACGGATGAATTCGCGATGTGTAAGAGAAACTACAGAGATAGACTCATGACGTCATCCCTCGACTTGCTATTTTCGGAATCGTCGGTTATAATCGAACGTCGTTTTGGAATAAAGGTAAATTTATAAGGAAGTCACAACAGCTGCTCATAACTTAAAGTGTTCTCTTTATTTTAGTGTACAAATAAAACTTGAAGTGAAAAGAAAAGTACTATAACGTTTCCGCAAAGAAAAAACACTTTAATCAATTAATACAAATTCGCTTTGTAGAATTTACAAAATCACTGGCAGAAACACGGTAATCAATAATTAAATCAACCAGTCAAAAAAAGTCATCAAAAAATACTGTCGCAATTCAAAAAAATGTCCCCATTGACAGCGGGAAAAACTTATTGAAATCTCTATTTTTGTCGACAATTTTCGAACGGAAAAAGAAGTACAAGAACTACGTTTATTGTAAACAAAAAAATATTACCGTGTCTATACCCCCCTGAACACGACAAATGGTATAAATTGATTTTTCCTCAAATAAATCTTGATCATTAACGCACCACTTGTACACGTTTTTAAAACGCCTCTATAAAAGTAAATTCTCACCCATTCGCTGAGTCACACTCACGAAAAAAAATATCCACTCAGATTAACTTAATATATCTTTAACAATCATACTCTTTTCCACGCATTCCATTTATTTTCATTCCTAAAAATGAAATTCTACCGAAGAAACAAATAGTCGACGGACTCGCGTTTCGTCTTCGAGCCAAAAAAATTCATTTTTCTGAAATATCGAAAAAAGACAAAACTTCGAATATTCTTTTAGGCTCATGTGTCTATTATAATATGTACTAGAATGTACACGAGTCTTCAGTCTCGTTGAGCGAAACAACAAAATTAGAAAAACTTTTTTTTTGTCCATTCATTGTGTACCAGTTCTTGTTCTCGCGCTGAGAATTGAATTGATCAATTTGGTAGAGTGTCGTATAGTATATCCCTGGCACTTTGGGTTAATGTGTCTGGGAATTTGATGTCGAATGAAACGAGAAGATCGCCTTTCCGCGACGGTTCCTTGGGGAATGGTAGACCGTGACCTTGCAACCTCTTCACCATATTTGGCTTAACAATTTCTCGCGTTAAATTCAAACTTATTTTCTCACCATTTAGAGTTGGAATTTCGACAATTGCACCGCAGAGAGCCTGTTTCAGCGACAATTTCTGAGTGTAACGAATATCACTGCCCTCCCTCCTGAACAATGGATGGGGCTTGTCACGAATGATGAATACAATGTCCGCCGGCACTTTACCGCGTCCTTGATCGCCCTCCTTTTGAAAAGTGATTTTCGTCCCCGCCTTCCAGCCGGGTTTCACGTTTATCGTCAGAACCTTGTCCTCCTTCTTCGTGCTGCCGTCGGGCTGTATCACTCGTCGGGAGATTTTCATTTTTTTCGTGCAACCCCGCAGAATGTCGTCGAGACCAACGTAGAGATCGTGTTCGATTGCCGGATCCTGTGAACGATCTTTGCCGCCAGTTCGACCCTGATTGGGACCGGCGAAATTGAACGAGTGCGAGCGGAAGGCGCCGCCCTGACCGCCTGGTCTCTGTGGTCCTATTCCAAGACCAAATGGATCGTCCATGTCCATGTCCTCATCGTGGAAATTCGGGAAGACACGATTGCTTCCCTGACCGCCGAAACCAAAGAATGTCTGGAATGGTGAGGCTGAGCCGAAGAATTGAGCAAACGTCGCTCGTGGATCGCCGTGGAAGGTGTAGGTGGAGCCGCCACCTCCTGGACCACCGCCCGATGTCGCTCCACCCTTGAGGCCCTCCTCGCCAAACTGATCGTAGACCTCGCGCTTTTTCGAGTCCGACAGTACCTCGTATGCTTCGGCAATTTCTTTGAACTTCTCCTCGGCACCGGCACTTCGATTCTTGTCCGGATGGTACTTGAGGGCCAGTTTCCGATAAGCCTTCTTTATCTCGTCGTCACTGGCTTCCTTATTGATACCCAGGATTTTGTAGTAGTCTTTCCCCATTTTTCCTCCTTTCCTGCAAAATATCAAATTCATTAGAATCCAAAATAAATTTCACCTTCTCCGAAGAAAGGTAAAACAAAAAATTGTACAGGGTTGCCACGAAAATTTAATTTTGTTTTTTCCTGATTTCCAGACAAAATTTTGACTTTCTCCCTGACCCTGAAGAATATACCGAATCACTCCAAAAATTATTAGATACTCAAAGAAATGTTCTATTACATTTATATTTACGAATTTCTTTAAGTGTAAAATTATTCGACAACATCAATAACTTCTTTTTTAAATAAATACTTAATCATTATTATTTTTCTATAGGAATTGAGGATTTCAAATCAAAACCTTCTGAAATTAAACAACTTATAAAACATTTTTTTTTGTTATAAAAACATGAAGAAACGTGATTTCTTCACGTTTTGTAATAAATTTAAAATTACAGAGTGATAAAATCATTATTTTATATTATAAATAAATTTAAATTTTCAAAGATTTTAATTCTTGAACCCTTTTCAAAATTCACTTATTTATAAAAATTCACGCTATGATGCTTTTAATATTCATTTATAATTTCAAATTTTAAGTGAAATTCATTTTTAATCAATTTTTATTAGAAAATTTTTCGAGAATTCAATTATTTAAATGCAAAGATAAATAATGTATGAAATAATTAAATATTTCTTAAAATTGAATTTTTTTAAAGAAATTTATAAAAAATGTTTAAAATAATTGAATTCTTTAGGCGAATTTTCAAAAAATTATAAAGAATAAATGCAATTTTCTATCAGTTTATGTAAAATCGTACATAAAAAATAATTGAAACTCTGCTATAAAGATTGTTATTTATAAAAGTAATTTAATTCTTGCAACGAATTTTATTAAAAAAATTTTTAAAGAATTGAATTCCTGTGAAGAATTTCATTTGTGAAAATAATTTAATTCCGGAGAAAAATATTATTATTTATGATATTAAATTAATTTCTTGTGAAGAATTTTATTCGAATTTTTTAAATAATTGAATTTCTCAGAATTTTTTATAACATTTTGAAAATAATTAAATTCCATCGACAAAATTTCATTAAAAAATTGAAAATAATTGAAATCTGACGAAGAATTTTATTAAATTTTTTTTTTAAATAATTTAATTCTTGTGAAAATTTTTATTTTTGAAAAAAATTGAATTCTTGGGAAGAATTTAATTAAAATTTCTTAAATAATTGAATTGCTTCGAATAATTTTATTTTTTAAGAAAATAATTAAATTGTTTCGAAGATTTTTACAAACATTTTTGTCAGTAAAATTGTAATTCCCATAAGGAATGTTATATTTTACGAAAATAATTGTATTCTATAGTCAATTTTATTATAATTTTTCAAATTTATAAAGCATTTTATTAAAATTTTTCAAATGAATTCTCGAGAAAAATTTTATTGTTTATGAAAATAATTGATTTCTTACGAAGAATTTTATTCAAATTTTTTTCAAATAATTAAATTCCCATAAACAAATGTATTATTTGTGAAAATAATTGAATTCTTAAGAAGAATTGAATTGAAAATAATTGGATTCTTAAGAAGAATTGTATACGAAGTTGAAGTCCACAACGTTTATCAACGAAATAAATTTATTTAATGCATTCAAGTATTATTTTTAATTTAATATTGAATTGTAAAATAATTATTATCAAAATATAAATATCAATCTTTTATTTCTAAATATTTTTGTATCAATATTGCTGCGTCATTTTGAACTAATTTACTAAGTGAACAATTTTTTTCGTTGATCAACGTTGTGGACTTCAACTTGGTGAATTGTATTGCAAATAATTGAATTGAATAGGAAAATTTTATTAAAATTGTGGACCTGAAATATTCACGTCAATCAAGTTCACGTTTTTGATCTAGAGATTGAGAGAAAAAATATTTTTCACGCAGAAAACAATATTTATTATTTTACTTTTTGAATTATTATAAAATAATAAAAATTTTTTTAACATAAATTTATTTATTTTTTGTAAATAATAAATTTCTTCGCCGGAATTCAAATATTTTTTAAAAACAATAAATTTCTTCACAGGAATTCAAATATTTTTTAAAAACAGTAAAAATTTCTTCGCACAAATTCAATTATTTTTAGTAGGGGAGAGGGCCCTAAGGTGGTCACCCATCTTTTGAACGACTGTAGATTTCAAATGGAATTATATATAAAGGTCAATAATACGGCGTTTGAAACTTTATCTTATTACCTAACTTCCTATCATAAAGTTTTTTTTATTTCATTAATAAAAAAAAAGTTATGGCACTTTTTAAAAAAAGTTGAAAATTCGACTTTTAAAAAAGTGGCCCAAGGTGGTCACCATACAAAAATTCACTAAAAAAGTTTTAAAAAAATGTAAAAAACGTATTACTAAGTTGTTTATTTAATATTAATTGTTTTTCAGGATCACAGAAACATATTACATATTTTTTTTGCACTTTGTCCTTTCGTCAAAAATGATACTTTTTGTGTATGTATTAGATAGGTAAAATTTTGAAAATAATTCTATTTTATTATTATTCATCATAAAACTTAAAAATTGATAAAATTCACATTCACAGTGATAAATGTTGATAAATATAGCGTATAAACATATTTTCATAAAAAATCAAAAGTGACCACCTTGTGGCCAAAAAAGTGTCCACCTTAGGGCCAAGAAAGAATTTTTTAAACGTTAATGAAAAAATTTTTTAAAGCACAATATTAATTATATTCATTTGGAATATTATTGTACGATATATAAAGATAATTATAACGATTTTTACTAATTTAAAATGGTTAATTTCGATGATTTTAACACCCTGAGAAAAAAATTTCTCGATCATTTAAAAACAGAAATTTTACGACGTTCACGTTACAAAGAGACTCATACGACTATTTACCTCAAAACTTTACTAAAATCTTTGTCTTCTCAAATAATAACAATAACAAAAAACATTTGAAGATACTAACTAATATACAAAAATTTTCTTAGGGTGACCACCTTAGGGCCCTGACCACCTTAGGGCCCTCTCCCCTACAATTTTCATAAAATTTGTCTAAATAATTGAATTATTTTCAAATTTTAATCAAATTCTTCACAAGAATTCAATTATTTTCAAAAGTTTTGATATAATTTAAAAAAAATTAAATTATTTAATAATTTCAATAAACTTTTTTACAATGATTCAATTACTTCTTAAAAACAATAAATTTTTTCGCATAGATTCAATTATTTTCTACTTTTTAATAAAATTGTTCACAAGATTCCATTATTTTTTAAAAGCAATAAATTTTTTCGCATAAATTCAATCATTTTTACTACGCAATTTTAAAAAAACTTCTCATAAGAATTCAAATATTTTCAAATTTTTATTAAATTCATCACAATAATTCAATTATTTTTAAAAGCAATAAACTTCGCATAGATTAGATTATTTTCTACTTTTTAATAAAATTGTTCACAGGAATTCAATTATTTTTTATAAATAATAAATTTCTTCGTATAAATTCAAATATTTTTTGTACAACTTTTATAAAAATTTTCGAAATAATTGAATTTATTTTTTGGAATTCAATATTTTTTTCATAAATAATAAAAATATTATTTACAAATTTACCTTTCTATTGGAGCGTGTCACAAATAAATAAAATTCGAAATTGTCAAAAAAAATAAATAAATAAATTTAAAGAAAATTAGAAAATTCGAATGCAAATGTGGAAAACTTGGTAGAAGCACGTGCAAGGATAAATTTCAATGTCATTCTCTCTATAAGTAACTGATTAAAGCAAATTAAGTAATTACGAGACGAAAAAGCACACACAAGTGGTAAATCTCGATCAATAGCGACAATTTGCATACAATTTTGGATCTTGTAACTTGAAGTTAAAAGAAGAAAAATTCTTGGAGACAAGAAAAGTTTCCTCGTAATTAACTCCTTATATTACAAATTTTTCAACGTTCAAAAGAAGGATTTTTCTTTTGCTATAAATATTTTCAAAAACGTGAAAATTGAAAAAAACATTTCGAAAGTTTATAGATTAATCTGATTCATAAATAATAATAATAAAATAATTTTTTTTTTTTTTTGAAATCTAAAACTAATGCACTGAAAATAAATATAAATTCTTATAAAGAATTTTATCAAGATTTTTAAAAATAATTTTCTTTCTAAGAATATTATTAAAATTTTTAAAACGTATTTAATTTTTTTGAGGATTTTATTGAATTTCCATTAAAATAATTCTTGTAAAGAATTAAATTAATTAATAATAGTGTTTATTATTATTACTTATGACTAAATTGTGATTAAATATTTCCTTTATGAATTTTTTAAAAATTTTTAGGAAATAATTAAATTATTCTTCTCACAATTTTTTCATAATTTTCAAAAATATTAAAATTGTTTAAAATAATTTCTTTAAATATTTAAAAAATAAAGTAATTTTTGTTAATAATTGTAATTACGAATTTGGTTGTTAAATTTATTTAAAATTTTTTAAAAATTGAATTTTTCTCAGTATTTTATTACAATTTTGGAAAATAATTGAATTCTTTTGAGAAATTTTATCAAAATTGTACTGCAAATAGTTTAATTTATACGGAGAAATTTATTATTTATAAAAAATAATTGATTTCTTGTGAAAAAAATGATTGAAATTAGAAAAAAAATTGGATTCTTATGAACAATTTAATATAAAATAGAAAATAATTAAATCTTTTAGAGAAATTTTATTAAAATTCCATTATAAAAATTGAATTACTGCCAAGAATTTTATTATAATTTTTGAAAATATTTGTATTCTTTCGAAAATTTTTTTAAATAATTGAATATGTTAGAGAAATTTTATCTAAATTCCTGTAAAAAAAATTTATTATTTATAAAAAATAATAATTTTATTAAAAGTAGAAAATAATTGAATTCTTGTGAAGAATTTTATTAAAATTTGATAATTCAATTATTTTGAAAAATTTAATGAAAATTGTACTAAAAATAATTAAAT